TAAGCCAAAACTCCAGTCCTAAGTATGGCTGCAACTTGCATCCCAAAATTCGCTGTCTAAGTTATGTTTATTTTCAAGGGGCTGCTTTCTAATCAAAATAGACTGAAAAAAGAACACAAGTAAAATGTAGTCGAAGCTCGAGTCACCAAGAGGTGAGGTAGCGCGAGGTTGGAGTTCTAAGCTAAGCCAGCCCCTGCAATTCCTTTATAGATTAATAAGCAAGAAGTGGATATGAAGCACGTATTATCTATGCAAAGAATTTCCAGATTGTGCTGGTGATATACGTTGATTAACGCTCTGCTTTATTCAGCCAAATATTTGCTTGTACTCGGTTACAGCTTGAAAGTTGGAACTGAGGATAATGCAATTTATATGATCAGCTGCCAAGAGGGTTGTTGAGCATTTATGAGTTTCGAAAGATGGTTGGTATAGAGCAGCTGCTTTGTCTTATAAATAAATGGTCAGATGTTAGGGCTAGACTTTACAGTTTTACCTAATTCCATATTATGTGATATCCTGAACTTCAAAACTTGATAGCATTTACCACCCACCACTCCTTCCCTCTTCCTTTTTCCTCCTTCCCTTCTTTCTTCTCTCTCTTCCTCCTTTCTCCTCCTCTTCCTCTTTCCTCCTCTTTGGACGAGAGAAGAGGAGGAAGAAGAGGGAAGGGGAGAAGAAAGGAGGGTGGGGGTGGTGATTATGATGGGTAGGAGTGGTAGTATTGATTTTTAAAAATTACTCTAATTTTTTTTTATTTTAAAAGTTATCCAAAATATATTTCAAAAACCTCTCCAAAATGTCACAAAATATCTACAATAAAAGTTTTTTATATACATTAATACAGTAAAATATTTTAAAAACATTTTAAAAAATAACTAATGCAAATGGATGTTATTTGGCACATGCTTTTGTATATGCAACTTATTTTTATGTGTTCCTTTGTATTTTGTCTAAATTTCATGACGGGAGTATTTAAGATTGGATCAGATGCAACTATGGCTTGCCATACACAACATTAGTAATCTTGATCTTCATACGTATTAAAGGCAATCATATGTATTGAAAGTACAATATCATGCAAGTATACGTGTTGAAAGTACAATATCTTGCAATTCAGCGGTGACCATGGTGTGCTTGCACCGTACCTTGCAACTCAAACGTGGATAAGATCTATAAATTACTCAATTGTTGATGATTGGACACCATGGATGCTTCAAGGCCGAGTTGATGGGTTCGTTGAAATATAATACATTCTGTTAATTACCATTGGCTTGAGATATAGCTTCACAGAAACTCTGTTGGATTTATTCCTGTTTTCCCACGTAAAGTTATGCAAGGACTTGCGTGAATAAGATGACATTTGCAACAATAAAGGCAAGAAATGACAAATGACAATTGGTGTATTATAAAAAAGTTGACTTTTAACACATTTGGGAAAATGGCCAATTTAGTCCTTATACTTTTTTTTTACTGTCAATTTAGTCCTTATATAATTTTTTTGATCAATTTAAACCATACACTTATTTGTCGGTTCCAATTAAGGATCTCCGCGGTGGCGCCACCTTATAATTGCGGTTCAACATCTAATTGACCACTTATGCGGGGGCATTTCTGGTACTTCACTGTTGGGGCTCCTCTTCAGAATTAAAAATCAAAACCAAAAAGTTACCGGTGTAAAATTATATCACCTTCAACCTTGGAAAGGAGGTCTGCCTTCAATAATTGGGCGTTTGTCCTTTTCAAAAAGAAAAAAATATAATTGGGTATTTGTCAAGCATTACCCAATCTCTCTTCAGATGAAGCTTTTCATCCCGCTTCTTTCTTTTCTTTTCATAATTCCTTTTGCACAGCAACAAGGTTTTCATTTCTTTTCTTCCTTTTCTTTTGGTTGCCTTCTTAATTTTTTTTTTGGTAGGTAGGGAAAAATATTTGTTCCAGTGGATTCGCCGAAAGTTGACAGCATTCCAGAAACAAAGAAGAAAAGGAATAGCAGCTCCTGTAATATACACACATTTTTAGACACAAATAAATCAGGTCATATGCAGTCGTGGGAAGTTTTAGACTGCCTGGATTGGGAGATCCTCGTGTCCTCCTCATCATCACTAGCAGACTTAATAACAACATACATTTCCACCCAATTATGCGATCAAGCCGCGAGGGGAAGTGCCTAAAATAATAAATGATGCAGCAACCAAAGTATGAGATGGAGATGGGGAATTGAGTCATCCCATTAACAAAATGGAAAGTTTCTTGAAATCATGTACTCCCAACCTCAAGTATTACAGCTCCAGCAGAGCAGAGAAAAGGAAAAGGGCAATTGCTTACAAAATTTTTTTCTGGTCATATATCAAAGCGAAAACACATTTCTATCACCTACTTGGATGCATTTCGCTGCAGTGATTTCGTCCAGCGCCACCGACCAGATCACATCTCCAGAGTCACTGAGCTTTATCTTCAGTGGTGATATAATTTGAGAAAATTTACACCGGTAACTTTTTGGTTTTGATTTTTAATTCTGAAGAGGAGCCCCAACAGTGAAGTACCATAAATGCCCCCGCATAAGTGGTCAATTAGACGTTGAACCGCAATTACAAGGTGGCGCCGCCGCGGAGATCCTTAATTGGAACCGACAAATAAGTGTAGGGTTTAAATTGGCCAAAAAAATTATATAAGGACTAAATTGACAGTAAAAAAAAGTATAGGGACTAAATTGGCCATTTTCTCAACACATTTTGGTTTGTTTGGATTGTAAATTATTTGAGATATTTTTACTGTAGCACTTTTTGTGATGTAATATATGTGAGATGAAAAGATAATTGAAAGATGTATTGAAAATTGTAATAATGATGTAAGTAGATATATTTGTTTAGCGTGGCAAATGAAGGCCAAACTACGATGTCAATCGTCAAGCAATCCAAGCAGTGAGGTCATGTTGGGAATTGGGATCCGTCTTTCTAAAGGTCCGCCAACGAGAAGCAGTCAAGCTAATTTACCTGTCTTATTTTCACATGAAAAAAAGGGAAGACAAGAGCACATTAGAGGGAGGCACATTTGGATTCTAGACGAATCACTGCTAAGTAGTTAATTGTATACACTAGGATTGTAAACGAATTGAATCGCTTGCAATCTCGAGTGCGAGCTCGGTCAACATCGAATTCGAGTCGAGTTTGAACAAACTCGAACTCGAACTTGAACTCGAACTTGAGATAAAAATTACTCAATTCGTTAGCTCGTGAGTCGATTCGAACTCAACTATATATATATTTTTTAATTTTAATAGTAAAATGACATATACATTACTAATATTTTATTATTTGTTTAGAAAAATTAATATTTTATTTAATTTTTAAAAATAAAATAATTATTTTTTAAAATTTTTTTAAGCTTGAGTCGAGTTCGAACTCGAACTTGACATTTTGAACTCGTCGAATTCGACCTCGAGTTCGAATTTTGTAAAATTATATTGAGACTCAATTCGATTAGATCGAAACTCGACTCGATTCGACTCGTTTACACCTCTGAGATAGGCACATTTGGACATTAGAGGAGCCACAGTTTTTAATACTATTTAGGGATAATTTTAGAAACCTCCCATAAAATTTTTGACTATTACAAAAAACTCTCCTCTAATTTAAAAAATTACACCTACCTCCTCTATGATTAGCATTTCAGTAACAATATAGACCCAATATACTAAATTTGTTCTCAAAAATTCTAAAGTACCCCTCTGTTGCTTAGAAGGGGGAAAACACACTAATAAATTTTTTTTCACATTGCAACTATTGTAAATGACATAGTTATTACCCTGACAAACTCAATAAACCACTTCAATTTTATCCCCACGTTCTCACAATTTTGACAACCTACCATTGCTGCCCCAAAGCTTCCGATGCAAATTACCTGTGACAATTAAAGTTTGCATTCAACCTAATCTTTAGCCTCATTTTTTTGGGGTCTAAATTTAGTGTTTGAATTGACCAATGTCACTATCCAAACTTAATCTAAATGGCTACAACCTTGTTGATACTAAAATAATTTAACCTACCAAGAATACCAACAGGAACAATCAAAAGCAAAACTAGAGACCACATCCCACATCTTTAGGCAAATCAGATTGCAATTTTTATACAAATTTTTTTTTACACAATTGGCATAATAATATAACCTTTTGCAATCTAGGTTTTAATTTTTGCTATCACTTTTATTTTTTTGTTTGTACTATGTATCACCACTATCCTTTTCACCTTCATTTAGTTTGACAACAAATCTGAACCGATAGCTTGACATTTGGCAATTTCAATTTAATAATACTTACAAACAAAAGAAAAACAATAAAAGAGAGGATCTATTTTCATAATAATGAGAATTTGAGATGTATTAAATTGTTGTGTAAATAGCAGTTGCAAAAAAATAGTGAATTATAAGATGCATAAGAAAGAAGGCAGGAGAAAAAATCGGAGAGAGAGAATAATAGTTTATTTCATGTGGCAACCGATAGCTTGACATTTGGCAATTTCAATTTAATAATACTTACAAACAAAAGAAAAACAATAAAAGAGAGGATCTATTTTCATAATAATGAGAATTCGAGATGTATTAAATAGTTGTGTAAATAGCAGCTGCAAAAAAATAGTGAATTATAAGATGCATAAGAAAGAAGGCAGGAGAAAAAATCGGAGAGAGAGAATAATAGTTTATTTCATGTGGCAACAGTTGCTTTAAAATGAAACGCTAGTTGTAATTACAGGGTTTTTTTTATAGGAATTTTATATGATGGGAGGTTAGTGTAATTATTTAAACTTGAAGGGAGGTGAGTAAAATTGTTAGAAATATCTCTGTAATTATCCCTAGTATTTATTATAGAATGGCGATCCATTGTTGGAGCATCAACAGATTTGTGAGCATATACATTATTGGAGTTCGAAAACTACAGTAACTCCGCCACGTAAAGAGATGACAAAACATGTTAGGCCAAGCTGCTCAACTGGGAAGCTACACATTCTCATGCGATCCTCTCTCTTCTACTATCTGATTTTGCCGCTAGTTCTTCTGCAAATATGTTCAAACCTTGCTACGGCTGGTTCCACTGTTAGGTTTCTCCCAGGATTCGAAGGACCTCTGCCATTTGAACTCGAAACCGGGTGGGTAACTCGATATTTTTATCACAGTAAGTTAATTTCTGGAGCATTAATGCGGATTAAACTTGGGAAAGATTGAAGTAGTTTTGAGATTGTACAACCAGGTATATAGGAGTTGAAGAATCAGAGGATGTGCAGCTTTTCTACTACTTTGTCAAGTCAGAGTCCATTCCTGAAACAGACCCTCTTGTGCTCTGGTTGAGCGGAGGCAACTGCTGCACCTCATTCTCTGGGCTTGCTTATCAGATAGGTAGATTTAGTGCACGCCGATAATCAGTATGGAGTGTGAATTATGAGCATGGATTATACGTAATCCCTTTTCCTGATTTCTTCATAATTCCACCGTACCCTTTCATCATTGATTCTTGCACAAGCTTGAAATCTTGAAAGGTTCCTTTTTGCCAGTTTCAGAAACTTAGCTTCATAAATTATGTACCCTGCGATTCTATATTAGGCCCCTGTATTTGTTTCATCTTCTTTTTGGTTGTTTCACCAGACATAGATCTAGTTGGGGAGGCCCGTATATACATGTTTTAATTAATGAATACAAGCAAGACTCAGTAAAACATCCTATTCACAGGATTGAGGATTTGTTTTCAATTGATTATACGTCCAGGAAAAGGGCAAAAGAAACCATTTTTCTGACAGTAGAATTTGGTTTCATCAATATCCCACCCTTTTTCCATCAGTGTTTCAAACCCAATCCTCTCTGTATGAATGATGTATGTAGCGGAGCGGAAACATGCCATACCCCAACCAATTCCTCGTTGACCTGTGATTTTTCAGGCCCAATAAAATTTGAGGAAGTGCTGTACAATGGGACTTTGCCCAAGTTGCTGTTAAATCCCTATTCTTGGACTAAGGTAAACTTAGCATCAAGTGTCTTTCACCCCCTTTTTGGTCAAAGGATATCAATAATAGATACTGGTAGGATAGACTCCTCTAAAGTTCATCGTACAGTAGATTACTGATGCATCACTAGTTCACTACTGATAGTGTTTGATAATAATGTTTCGATTTTCTGCTGTTTAGTTGAATGCTAGACTGACCATAATGTATCGTTACTTTTCAGCTGGTAAGCATAATATTTGTCGATTTGCCGGTGGCAAGTGGTTTTTCTTATGCAAGGACTGCAAAAGCTTCTCAGTCTACAGTTTCACAAGCCTGTAACCAAGCCTACGAATTTCTTAGAAAGGTACACTCCTACCGTTATATGATCGGGTTAATCACAATTAATCCCCTTAAACCCCCTTAAAGTATATTTCATTTTTCATAATACCGCCTAACCATTTTTTTTTCTCACTTTATCCACATTGGACAAAATTATCTCTCTATTATTTTAAACTCTTATTTTCTTCTCTTTTATTTTTTTTCCTTTCCCTTTTTGTGCTCTTTTATTTTATTTGCCTCTTTCTTCTTTCTTTAATTCTTCATCTTTCTCATTAAAATCTTCATCTTATTGATTGAAATTAAAACAGAGGAATTGTAGAGATCTATCTTTTCCTCAAATGATTAAAAAATATTCAAATCACTTTCCTAAAATACAATTTTTTTAGCTTTTCAATTCTTTTAATTTTGGTTTTCTCTCTTTCCTTCCTAGTTTCTCGTTTTATTCTCAAGAAAATCCTTATACTATATAAGAATGAGTTTAAGACTAGATTTCAACCTCAGGGATGGGACTATTTTGGGAATGTGAGAGTGTTTGAAGAGTAATTGGAACACCGAGTACAAGTCATTATAGCTTTAATTTCACTATAATTACTTATATAACATTTCAGACATTTAAGGTTAGGGGCATGTTTGGTATGTTACAATGTTTGAAACCAAGTTGAGTGTCAAGTACAACTGAATAAAACTTGTATTTTGATAGAATTACATAAAAGTCCTTTTAATCATTTATTATACTAACATCCAAGCCTTCCAATTTCCTGAAACCTTTCTCATCTGTTAAGGAATTAATTGGATGTTTACATAATTGGATTTTAATTGTAATTAATTAACTTAATTATTATCTGAACAATCATTATCATATTTATGTCCCCATGTTTAGCCGATACCCTTTCTTCTTTTTCGGTTTCACCTCTTTGATTTTATTATGGCTATTAAATATTTGGTGGAATGCATAGCTTTTCCTTTAAATTGAGGTAGTTCTTTGGGTTTGTCTTCTTCAATTGTAGTTTTTTTTTTTCCGATGATTGGTTTATTCAAGAACTTCATATAGTTTGCCTTTTGATACTTCTAATTCAAAAAACTGACTAATTGTATTTTTTTTCTTAATAGATCCCAGAGATTCTGTCTCTGGTCAATGTACAATTTGAGATAACGTTGTCACTTTCTAAAATAATCAAAAAAGTAATTTTATCATCTTCTCCTCCTCAGCCAAGGTATTATCTCTTTATTTAAGTCAAATAACGGGCTCCGTTTGGATTAGCTGTTTTTGGAATTGTTTTTCAAAAACAACATTGTAGCATTTCGTTTTTGAAATACAAGTCCATTTGGATTAGTTATTTTTAGGGTTATTTTTCAAAAACTATATGAAAAACTTTTACAGTAGATGTATTTTGGATTATTTTTAGAGATATTTTTAAAACATATTTTTTAATATTTTTATAATTTATAATTTATAATTTATAATTTTTATACTTATATATATTTATGTATTTATAATACATTTATAAATATTTATAAATAAATATATTTATATAAAAATATATAAATGTATTATATTATATATAATACATAATATAAATATATTTATAAATGTATATTATTGTAAATGTATAAATTATAAATGAATATTATATAAATGTATAAATTATAAATGAATATTATTTAAATGTATAAATTATAAATGAATATTATTTAAATGTATAAATTATAAATGAATATTATTTAAATGTATAAATTATAAATTATAAATTATAAATTATAAATTATAATTTATAATTTATAATTTATATATAAATATATATTTTTATACATTTATAAATATTTATAAATAAATATATTTAAATAAAAAAATATACATGCATTATAAATGTATTATATTATATATAATACATAATATAAATATATTTATAACTGTACAAGTGTGTATTATTATAAATGTATAAATTATAAATGAATATTATATAAATGTATAAATTAATATATTAAAAGTATATATTAATATTATGTATAAATGTATTAATATAATTAATATAAATGTATAAATGTATTAATATAATTAATATAAATGTATAAATGTATTAATATTATGTATAAATGTAAAATTAATATTATGTATATTAATATAAATGTATAAATGTATTATAAATATATTATATTATATATAATACATAATATAAATTTATATTATAAATATACATTAATATATATATTATGTATAAATGTACATTTATATAAATGTATAATTTATATAATATATAGTATATATTATATTATATATAATTTATATAATATATAATATTTATATAAATATATAAAAATATTTTTAAATAAAATAAAATATTTGTAATATGTATAAATAAATATATAAATATTTAATATATATAATATACATTAATATTAATTATAAATATTATAATATTATAAATATGGTGTTTATATAATATTTCAATTTGTAATATTTATTGTATATTTCATTATATAAATATTTATATAATTTATAATTTATAAATATATAATATATAATTTTCAATTTGTATAATATACATAATGAGGAATTTCTTCTGATTTTAGTTACCATTTTCTACAATTTCAAATTTAGAAAATATTATTTGTACCAATTTTTTATAATCAAGATTGTTTCAATTCAGATCTTTAACAATTATGCAGATTTGAACTTATTTATGAGATTATAAAGAAATGCTCCTAGCAAAAAATACCAAATCTGAATAGTTTCTACAAAACTTTGAAAAAGATCACTTAAGTTTCTTATCTATTTATCATTTTTGGGCATTATTATCTCTATAAGAAACATGTGATTAAGTCGTATTATACCCACCAAATTATATAAATAGTTAGTCAAAAATAAAATTATTTTAGATTAGATTGGATGCAAAGTGATTGATGGATAAACTTGACTTGATAATTCAGGTTAAGTTTAAGTCGAGGGAGAAATTAGAAGCATTGCTTGAGGGATCTTTCACGAACATATATAGATTCGAGAGATGAAGGATCCAATTGATACTTTAAAATGTTTTATCATCTTGGATAAGTTTTAGAAGAGACCTTTGGATACTTTTCAATTGCACTTCAAATATTCTTACATTTTCAAACTACCCTTATCTTTGCAGTTGAAATTCAAACATAACTTTTGATCACAACGGATTCTTATATAGTATAACGATAAGGATGTCTCATTGCACATTATTTTTATTGACTCACTATGTAACTTATGATTTTTCTATTAAAATTACATGATAAAATCATCATACTTCAGTTCCTATACTACAAAATATTAAACAACAATTATTAATTATCTTGAATTACAAGCACCAAATTCCCGCGCGACCTAGTATCATAAGATGAAATTGTGACCTGATTAATAATCATCAATTGAAATTTGTGACACGTGGCACCATACAAAAAATCAAAATTAGTTTTTAATATCTTTTAAACATTCACCCAGAAATGCAATTACAAACTTAAAATAAAAATTTCCGTTGAGATGGAGTTTTCTATCAGGAAGGATGAAAGAGAGAAGAAAGAGAAAAAGAAATAAAAGAGAGGAAAAAAGGTAAATGAAAATTCAAAATAATGGAAGGGTAATTTTATCCTATAGGGGTTAAGTGAGCAAAATTAAAGGTTAGGGGGTAAAGTGAGAAATGAGATATACCTTAAGCGATTAATTGTAATTAACCCTATATGATCATTAGATATCATTTTGATGGAGCATGGAGACTACACTGGAGAGCGCAATTGATCAAAAGCTAGAAAGTTGCCACTTTTAGCTTGATGCCACTGAACCAGATCTTTGATCCCTGCCTACGTAGACCTGGACAAGACTCCAGTACTTTTGGACCAAACCGCCAGTTATAGATGTCACCTCCAATTACTACTCAGGAAAATGCCATATTGGTAGGCAAATCTTTTACTTTTAAGTGACTGTGTACATCAATTTTCTCTGTTTATATGTTGTTATGTACCGCATAAGTATCCACAAAAGAAGTTCATAACCGGTCCATTATTTTGGTGATTGAGAATACGTTACTTCTTTACCGATTTAGATCATAAAATAAAGCTTGCTGGTGACCTAAGCTTTAATAATCCATGTATTGAAGCATGTAGACTTCTCAATGACATTAACATGAAAAGACTGATGATAAATGATATTCATCTTTTGCAAAGTGCCTCTCAATTGTTGATTGCTTTACAGTGGCTGGTTGATCATCCAGAGTTCATTTCCAGTCCAGTCTATATTGGTGGAGACTCGAAAGCAGGGATTAGGGTGCCAATTGTCACTCAGCTTATATCAGATGGTAGACCTCAATTTGGTTCTTTATGTAGGCACCTCTTATTGATTATGCCTCTAATACATTCTGATGATAACAGTTATGTACTAGCCTTTTGTAAAGGCTTGAAGGTATTGCAAATGCTTTTGAAATTTTAGATACCCTAAGCGTCTTAAGTAGACATACTGCCGGCTTCACTTAGTCGATGTTTAGCAATCTAATGACCAAGCTTTGATAGAGATAGAAATAGAAAGTGCCTCCAGAATCTGCATACAGTTTATTTATCATTACAGCTTTACTCTTTTGAGTTGGACCTTAACGACTCGAAGTTGCACTGTTCAATGTCCTTGCACTTGCTCGTGTTGAAGAATTCTCTCAAAGGATTCAATGGCTCTTAAACTATTGTTGTTGTGTCTCTGCAGGAAATGAGGTCGGTATTGAGCCACATATCTATCTTAAGGTTTGTATTTAGCATAATCTTCTCTCTTTCATCTAGGGATAGCAAGATAACTAGATACCTGGACAAATTTTATCCATAATGAGGTTGACCATAAGAGATGCGCTTCGTTTACTAATCTGGCATATCAACACCATACTCGTATTTTCTTATTTATGCTTCATTGCTAACTTGTCACAACCCTCAAATGGCTTCAGGGATACATACTGGGAAATCCTGTCACCACTCCAGGTGATGGAAACTATGCAATCCAATTTACTCATGGGATGGGGCTGATTTCTGATGAGCTCTATGAGGTAGTTTATTCTTTGAGTACCTGAGGTCTTTTAGAACTTTCTTACGTACTTAGTACTAAATAATTTCCATAGTTTTCTAATGGGCCAAGATAACTGTTGTACAGTCCTTGAAGCTTTCCTGTAAAGGAGAATATCAAAATATAGATCCCAGCAATGCCCTCTGCTTGCAAAATATGCAGGCATACAATCAGGCAAGCAACCACTTTTCTGCAAGTTTTGTGCTTCTCTATTTTGAGAAATTAGTCACTATCCAAGTCCATATACTCAACTTCCCAAACCCCTCCCCCTCTCCAAGAAAAGGGGGATAACTAAAAAACTTGTCTTCAATTTCAAAATTAATGTAATCAATGTGTTTGTGCAGTTACTTAGTAACATTAACAAGGCACATATTCTGGAGCCTGACTGTCCTTATGCTTCCCCAAAGCCAAACAATTTATTCATTGGCAGGAGATCGACTATTCAAGTGTTCTGTGAGAAGACTCGAGAGCTGAAAATTCAGGAACTTGCTGCACCATTTACGTGTCGTGTAAGATACTAATATCTACATGAACTCCTGCATAAACACATTGTGATTATTTGCCGCAACTCTTGTGGTTAATACGAGTTCTCGACTTCTCGTAACAATCATGGATTTGTTTCTATGCTTGTTTTAGATGGATGGATATAGACTTGTTTATCATTGGGCTAATGACGAGAGTGTTCAAAAGGCCCTCCATGTCCGGAAGGTATGTCAACAGAAAACAAGCAGCTAAATATGCATGTTATGTTTACTTGTCTCTGTGCATGTAATTTTGTGAAATCACATGGCAGGAGAGTATTGGAGAATGGATAAGATGCAACTGTCGCTACCCGTATATAAGGAATATAGGATATAGTTTGCCATACCATGCAAACCTCAGCATTAGAGGCTACAGATCTCTCATATACAGGTTTGATGCCTATGCTTCACAAGTTCAAATATTAGCACTTAGTGCAACCATTGAGTAAACTTTCAATTCTGTTAATTGTTATTCTCTGATGAAAGTAAAAATTTGTGGTTCAGTGGTGACCATGATATGATTGTGCCACATTTTGGAACTCAAGCATGGATAAAATCTCTTAATTATTCCATAATAGATGATTGGCGCCAATGGATTCTACAAGGCCAAGTTGCCGGGTTCGTTCACAAAATGAATCTTTTACTAATTTGAGATAAAACTACAATAGAAACAACTCATATGGATTTATTTTTCTTGAAGTGCAGTTATACGAGGACCTACGCAAATAAGATGACGTTTGCAACAGTAAAGGCAAGAAATTCTCATTTTCTTTTGCTTCAATGCACAATTTAACTGTAAAAACTGAGAAAAACCTGAACCAATCATACTGAATTTTCACCAGGGAGGAGGCCATATTGCTCCTGAGTACAAGCCTGCTGAATGTCAAGCAATGTTTGAAAGGTGGATATCTCATCAGCCTCTATAAGCAAAATGTCCAGTCCTAAGTATGGCTGCAACTTGCATCCCAAACTTCGCTGTCTAAGTTATTTTTATTTTCAAGGGGCTGCTTTCTTATCAAAATAGATTGAAAAACGAACACAAATAAAATTTAGTCGAAGCTCGAGTCACCAAGAGGTGGGGTAGCGCGAGGTTGGAGTTCTAAGCTAAGCAAGCCCTGCAATTCCTTTATGGATTAAATAACAAGACGTGGATATGAAGCACGTCTTATCTATGCAAAGAATTTCCAGATTGTGCTGATGATATTCGTTGATTAATGCTCTGCTTTATTCAGCCAAATATTGCTTGTACTCGGTTACGGCTTGAAAGTTGGAACTGGGGATCATTTATATGATCAACTGCCAAGAGGGTTGTTGAGCATTTATAAGTTGCGAAAGAAGGTTGGTATAGAGCTGCTGCTTTGTCCTTTATCACTATCATTATCATTACTACTAGGGAGAAGGCCCATGCAAAGCATGGGAGTTTATACCTGTGGTGTTGTTAAATAATTTGGTAATGTTGGACAATTTGTTTTCACCTTAAGCAAGACATACTATTATGGTAGCCAAAAATGTCATGCCATGTGTGGATAAAGCATTGCATACTATTATAGTAGAAAATCAGTTGAGAAAATTATAGAAGTTTACGCAACCATAGTTAATGGATAATAGACATGGTTGTAGTTTAGATTGAGTGTTGATGCTGAATGGTTCTACTATTCAATCTCATATTATTCACATAGATAGATAGACAAAGTAGTAGTCCTGAGATATAAGTAGGTAAATAGCTGAGATAGCAGTCTCGCAATCCTTTCTATTGAAGAGTAGGTGATACAGGAATGAGAAAGGACACGATTAGATTTTTGCTTCTCTAGCTACAGTATTCCTTGGTTGGTGACTAAGCGCTTTCTGCAGAGTTTTGAATTTTTGTAATTGTGGTCGGAGCTTGGTTTTGTGGTTACTTCTGAAGATTTATGTTTCATGAGTTCAACTAAATTTAGTAAGAAAATAACATAATATATGAATATAGACTTGTCTATTCAAATAGCAATTTCAATCCAGACACACCGACTCATGCACTTAACTATTGATTAAAAAATTGCATCACCTGTAATGTAATTTTAAAATTGGATCAATCATTCACACACTTATTAATGACGCAACATAATTGTAATCAATGCAATAAAATTGTAATCACATATAAACAATAGATGACACGCAGTAAGTAGAAATACACAATTACCTTGTACCTTGAGGAACAAAATGCAATCTAACAAGAAAATTTGCCTATACTTCACCCAATTGCAATAGTTATGACAAAAGCTAATTCAGGAATTTTATTGTGCAAACAAAGCTATACAGTTCACAAAGTGAGAAACACGAGTGAAAATGAGCATACCTTTGCAAATTTGACTCTGATGGTGTGAAAGAGAAACATCTAAACCCACAATTTTATATATTAACGACTACCGTTACTGCCACTTAGTTCAGAAACTAATCTCCAAATGGTGGAGAAGATAGGGGGTCTTCGGTTACAGTTGTAATGTTGAGTTCAAATGATTGTTAATCTCCCACACTTTGATGAACTCTTCAACATGCTGCAATTACTGGTTCAAATGAGTGTGTTATGTTGAAAGAACTCAATTAATGTTTCTTGAACTTTAACGATGAAGAGCACAAAACTGCCTGCGGTTACAATTCACAGGTAGTCTTCAAATGGTCCTTTTACTTTAGCCCATTAATAATGTCTTAAACACATTCAATTCAATGGGATGGCTTTATCCTAATTCACCCTACTTCCTTTCTGTCTTACCATTGTACTCAGTAGGTTGTTAAAAGAATGAAACTATCACTAATAACACATAAGTAACATTTGCGAATGTAATCATCATCTCACAAAGGGCATTTTAGTAAACTCATACTCCAATAAGTATGGCTTGCTTGTATTCTAAGATAGATTACTTGTATGATACTTATACAATCCCCAAATTGCCCTTAAAATGTCAGATGTAAACCACCCAACAGACAAATTACAACTCTATTATATATAGATATATATATATATATATATATATATAGGATATAAAAATATGAATTTTGGTATTAGAAAGTGCAAATGTAAGTACTTTTTTATCTTAATATTTGTTATCCCAAAATTACTCTTGTGTTTTTTAATTAGAATTATTGCATTTGAATGTGGTACTAATTAAAAGAAATAAAACATTCCAATTGATTACATCTTAATAGTATTGATAATTATAATTAAAAATTGCTCACTAAAAACTATTTACCTACCATTGGACTCCATCCCCAATTATTATACGTATCAAAATTTCTTAATTATAAAAAAAATCAATTTCAAAAAATAGATGCTCTCTAGAAAATGGAGCAACATACAAGGAGAAGAGAAACCTTATCCATATATATATTTATATATATATATATATATTCATACAAATATCACTAGTAAATTTTAAAATTATGCAGTTTTTACCAATATAAAGAATTTTTCGTGTTGCACCCAATGGAATTTCAATATACAAAAAATGATGATACCTTTATAACTAAAATAGCAATATTAAACTGGAAAAAAGAAATCCAAAATAGCGTCATACGAACCACTATTATCATTAATAGTAACCGATCAAAACAAGAAAAACTGAAAAAAAAAATTGAACACTCTTTATAAAACGACATATAGTAAATAGCCGATGAATTAAAAAGTTAGAATACAATTCAAATAATACTAAAAACAACATCTAAATCATTGATATCTAGAAGAAGATAAACATTTTGTTGACAATAATATAGTTATGCTTCATTTGTATTGGTTTAAGCAAACCAAATCCATCCATCAAGTCAGAAGCCATCTCCAATGATAAAATAAGAATTATAATAAGAGTAATTTTAAAATGAAGAATGATATCCAAATTATTTTCGGTGATGTGCAAAATACCCTTATTTTTCTAATGATTACATATATTTATTGTATTGCAATATTAGTGAATAATGGAAGTTGTTATGAAATGAAAATATTTAAAATTAAGTAAATTTCATTTAGAGTGACAATCATAATTAGACAGATTTAGTGCATTTTAATAATTAATAATAATGATAGTGGTTATGGATTAAAAGTTGCCAATTAAAAAATAAAACACTGTAATATACAAAAAATTAGTATTAAAGTTGTTAATTAGCCACAATTCTCATTCCAATTCCATGATCATAAAAAAAAACTAATACTAAAACCAAAAATATTGTGCTCATATGAAAAAAGTAGACTGTTTGCTTTTGTTTTGCATTTGATTGTGCTAAAAACATGAATAAAAAAAGAAAAATAGAAAAACTCCAACTATCTCTATCTATAAAATTTTAATTGTCAGGAAGTACAAGCCAAAAAAACTTTAAGTGATGGATCATTTATACTCCATTATTGACAAAAATAGAATTAACATAATACAAAGAATTCAAATTACATGTATGTTTATTTTTCTAACTTAATTATATTCATTGTTTATAAAAAATTGTGATGATTGTGGTTTATATGCAATAGAATCATGAATATACAATAATTTTGGTAAAACATAATATTATCAATATTTGATATGTTAGAGTTCAAGTCCTAAATCAAAAAGCATTTGGTTCATGATTCCAACTTCAATCCTAAGGAACATGTCAACTACGTTGAAATGTTTTCTATCTCTTTTCATTTAATAAAATTTTTAAAAGTAACTAGCTTAAAAAACTAAATAACATAAAAAATACTATATTATGATGTTGATGATCAAAATTTCATAAAAAATTTTTAGTATCCAACGAACAATATATTTTAAAATATTACAATCAAGGGCAAAGCACATGACCTAGTACTAGTATAAATAAATGGTCAGATTTTAGGACCCAAGACTTTACAGTTTTACCAAATGCCATATTATGTGATATAGATTCCTGAACTTCAAAAATTGATAGCAATTATCACAAACCATCTAATTACGATGTGTCATAGATGACAAATTCAGCCAACTTTAGCAAACCCATGCGTTTCAAAGATTAGCCACAAGAGGCTGACCAAAAAACGGAGGAGAATCTGGGTAAAAGATACTTGAATATAGAACTCTTATAAAATGAACTCATGTAAAACTATAATAAATTCTAAAGGGAGCGGAAAGTTAACCCCACAAACAGTTACAAGTGGGTAAAAGAAATACAAAGAAAAACAACCATAACAATCAATGCTCAAATGCAAGAGCACGAGGCATCCATAGAGTTGGGAGTAGGAATTCCATGTTAAGATAAGAGACGGGAAAACATGTGCACTTTAGGGATTCTTTCTTCTGGAACCTGTTTTTGCTTCTAGTTCTAGCACTTCTTTCACAGGTATGTTCAAACTTGCTATGGCTGGTTTCAGGGTACTAAGGTTGATCAAAGTTCTAAAAAAAAAAAAAAAAAAAAAAAAAACTGGATTCCTTGTGTGATGTTACCAGGTGTACAAGAGTGGATGAATCAGAAGATGTGCACCTAATCTGCTACCGCGTCAAGTCAGGGTCTGATCCTATGGACCTGCTTGTGCTTCGGTTAAGTGGAGGTCCTGGCTGCTCTTCATCTTCTGGGCTCGCTTATGAGATCGGTGAACTCCTTAGCCACTGCATTGCACTGTCGACAGCCCTTCCCCACCCCGTTTTTGAAAATGGCATTGGCCCTTACTATTTGATCAGTCCACCACATAGTAAGCCTGTGAAGGTGATTTTCTGTGACTTTGAAAACAGTCCTTCTCAGTTTTCCAGACTCCTGCAAGTTAAAAACCAACGTGGTAACTGGTTTAAATTGAGTGAGATTGGCGCTTAGGTACCGTTGAACAAAGTTTGGCCCATCTCCTGGAAATTCCAGAAACAGGCCCTAGTACTTCCCTTTATGATTTTGGAGCTTCACCAGAAATTTGTCACCGTAAAAGTGCAAAAGAAAAGTAAGAAGTTTTGATCCTTGATTGCATGATTTACGACTTGCTACAGTACTATTCTTCGACCATATCTCCTGGAAACTTAAAAAATAGAAAGGAAACGTTTTCTGTAGGCAA